AACAAGTTAAACGACAAATTGAACATGTGATCTATAAAGTCATCTGATCATACAAAGTCATCTGATTTCGCAATAATCTGTCACTTTGTTGACAAGCTTTTCAGAAACGTTGATGTTACACGACTGATATTTCACCCGGTGTGCAACGTATAAAAAAATTATTTTAAAATACCAGATCATTCCGCTAGTACATGTTACTGTATGATTATAATCCAACATCATATTAAGCACGAAAAAACTGAAACATTCATTATAAAGGACAATAAAAAAAATACTATATAAACCAATTTTAATTGTATATAATACGTAACAGTTAATTAATGCTAAACGAATTTGACCTTAATCCTAAATCAATAACCTTAGATGTAATGCTATGCTTTAATAATCTTAGAAATAATACTATATTTTATTGCTTCATATCACTAAGCTATTTTACTAGCATAGTGACTGGACTCGTGTTAACTCGTAACTCGCGAATTAAATTCCGGAAAGTGCTCGAATCATTCGAATAATAATAGTTTTCGAGTTTTATACGAGTTATTCGAGTCAACAATTAATTTATTGTTACGCGAAGCAAATATAATGTTATTATCACAGATTATAAGTTATGAAAACAAGTAGCATATTAATTATTCGTCAACTTGAAATAAAATGTATCTAGCAAATTCATGTTTCTTTTTAAAAATCACCCACCAATTCTGGATCAAGGTTTTGCTTTTGCTGTAATGGTACTTTGACTAATTTCTTCAGCATAGGATTCCTTCTCTTCATTAATGTTTTAGTTTTGCCTCATATTTGTATAGATGGAAATGTCTTAAAAAGTTATTGAAATTTTTTTTATTTTATTAAATATATAGAGTTTATTTAATTTCAATGAACTATAAATGTTGTAAGTGGAAACGGAATTTAAGTGGATTCGTGAACCTTACATGGTTGAAAAGAAACCAATTGACATCATTTTTGCTTTCTCCATGAAAGAACTGCTTTTCAGTAGTTACATTGCATTACATATGGGTAATTATTTTCGAACATCATACGTAGCATATAATTATACATTAATAATAACTCGCGAGTTAAATTTTTATGATTCGAGTTGACAAGTTCAGTCACTATACTAGCAAGACGTGTCTGTCTTCAGAATAATAAATAAGTTATAAATAAAATAGGTTAGCGATGTAATAATAAGTTAAAGTTGAGTCTTTAGTAGATGAATAATAAGCATTACTGCATTATGGCGGGTAATGAAATACCCAAAATTTGAAAATTTTGACCACTGATTGTGAGTCATTTAAGTGGCTTCACATATGTAATATTATTTTGCTGATCTAACGCTAATGATGGTATACTTTTTAAATTTTCTGTTATCCTTAAAATACTGTCAATATTACTGACAGTCATTACAAATTATTAAATTGTACGTTCGTAATGATAAATTTAAAATGGGTTGTACAGACGTATGGAAAAATGGGTTACGTAGACGCGTTGTTATTATAGATCGGGTGCAAATAATTTTTTTTAGGAGTTGAATTTTAAAAAATAAATCATCAAATTTGTCCCTCTTAAATTTGGGGACCAAAAATTAGTTAAATTTATAAAACGCGCTATCATCTACGGCGTAAGTCGTAACAGTCTCTCTGCATCTCTATATATATATATATGTATGCAAAAAAATGTATCTGTTTGATTTAAGCTTGTTTCAGAAATAATTGGTTTTATTTTTCGAAGACAGATAAAGAATATATAAACTATCCGCCCACCAACTTACTATGTTCGTTGTCAGTATAATAGTCACAGGTAGAGATGTGATCCGTTTAAATCCAGATTATCCAAATTATACAAGATAAAATTCTTATCCATTGTAACTGTCAAATCCAGCATCAACCAGCATCATATGCGTGGATTTAGAGAAGATACTGTAATTTTATTAATTTTATTATTTTATTTAGGGTCGTGGATTAAGAATTATTAGGATACAAGAGAAATTATGCCATAATATGCAAAAAATAATAATCGATTACTGCGCTATAATTATATGTTTTTGTTAGAAAATATACTATATAATAAATATAAAGATGGTTAATAGAAACCAAGGAAATTGTTGCTAAGTAAATTTTTTATTAAACGAAATTTGATAAAAAAATTTTTTTAAATATAACTTATATAAAATAAAAAAAAAACTTTTATAAAGTTTATTGTTAAGATATTTAATTTAAATTTAAAAAATGTACACATAACCCTCATTAATATCAACCTAAGCCACAAGACAAATTTTTATAAATTTTTATATATCGAAATTCCCTCCAATATATCAACTTCACTAAGAATTCCCCCCTATTTGAGGGGAGATGTCTTTCAATAACTTAATAAGTTCTTGTTGAAGCGAAACCAAGGCTCCAGCAGATGGTGCGTCTTTGGTGTTTGTTACTGAGATATATTCATTCATTGTGGTAAGGAACATATCTTGTAGTTCCTAAATGTTAAATATCAAATAACAATTAATACAACCAGCAATTATGCAACATGTTCTTAAAATACACACCTTATTTCCGGGACTAACTGAATTACTAAATAAAAAAGATGTCATTTTATCAACAATATCCAATACCCTTAAATTTGGTACTACTACTTTTTTTGCAATACTTTCTACTCCTCGCATCTTAGTAGATTGCTTGTCCTCTGCTTCATTAGTTGTTTGAGTGGCTTTTTCAAATCCACATAACTCGAGAATTTTCCCAAGTCCTTCACAAACAAGTAATGTTTTAAATTTTATATCAACATTAGCATCTGAACATATAATTGGGAACTCGGTTAATGTATGTACAAGGAATTCCATTAATGATACTGAACGAGAACAATGTCGTATTGCCATTATAACGATATGAAATCTCAAATCAAATCTCATATAAGTAGGTTTATTGAATCGCACAAGAAGAGGAAACCAGTTTACCGGAGGAAGAAGAGTACTTATTTTAGAGAATGTGGAAATAATCAAACTCACTGCTTCAATATATGAGTCTGATGGGCGATTCTCTAACATTATCGTATAATGACAAGTAAATAAAAATTAGTAATACTATAAAAATAATTTTATTTTATTTTATTTTTATTTTTTTACCTAATGAAAGCTCTACAAGATGATCAAACATAAATTTCAAATAACTTGAAGCAGGTAATCTGGAATAGTCTTTAGGCTCAGTACTGCTTGTAACAGATCTCTCAGAATCACCAATAAGCATCGCGGTATTTTCAGATATTCTTTCGATAACCTGCATTAATTGTCCCAAAATAATTACAGCTAATCTTCCACCTTTAACATCGTTCATAGTCATTCCTGAAGATAAAGCATGTGACCCAAGTCCTGTAACATTCTGCAAAGCATCCAAAACTTGCATAACAATAGCAGAAGGAGCTGAGGAAAAGAAATAAAAATTTCCATTTCGTGCATGATAAGGAAGCGAAAAGTAATCAACACCTGCAAGTGATCCTATTGTTATCAACGCAGTATGCCGTTTCGATGAATTTGTACCAACTGTCGTGAGCATGCGAGTACATGAATTTATAAGTGCATTAAACGATGATAAGTTACGCGACGATTGCTTTACTTGGAGAATGTCTTGTAAAGCATGCGAATAAGATTGTGAACAATGAAAATTATATTCGGACATTTCGCTCTAGATGAATATAATCATTATGCAATGTAAATTAATAAATAAATTAAAATAATAATAATAAATTAATTAAAATAATAATAATAATAAATTTTTAGGCTTACTTTAGCACCCGAAATCTTTGTTGCTTTTTCCAAAATTTCAGTAATTTCTTCGTTTAAGCTTTTACCTCTCGAAAAACTAACAAACCATGTGGATCCAGCAATCCTATTTTTAATACGTTCATCAACCCTTCCATCACTTTCGACAAACTCCTTTAAATCGGATAACGCCATTTGATATATTCGTTTGACCTCTGGTTCGTCATCACAATCAACGTTTGACAATCCAATCATAACGCCTAAACGCGTATTAGTTTGCTCCAAATTATCTGAAGGTGTATTTGAAATGAAATCGTAAAGAAATGACACTGTTTGCGAACAAATGTTTGACATTAAAGACGTCTTCATTGGAGATGAAGCAAGATATGATAAAAGTGTTCCAAGCGAATATCCTGCACCAAATAAAGCCCATCCTGTTGTAGAACTTAAAAAAATTTTTTTTTATTTTGATACATAACTTAACCGTATTTATCAAACAACAAACGAAAAGAATATTTCTTACTTCTTATCTTCACTTAACTTTGTGACTAAAGTATCAACCACTTCCTGTACTAATTTTTCATTCATAATTACTAAACTGGATAAATACCCTAAAGCCATTGCGACAGCAAATTGAACGTCATCGCTGGCGATAAGGCTTGAATCCTGGTGTTGATATTCGTATTGGCGCTTGACAGCCAAACTCGCGTCAACAAAATAATGGTCCAAGAAGTGACGCAACGTGATTATAGCATATTGTTGACTTGATGATATATTTAACGACTTGAGTGCGAGGCATAAACCTAATCATACGTTGCGATAATTTAAGCACGAAATAATTGTACATCTTTGTTTCCAAAGTAAATATATAATACCTGTAAGTGCCAAAATTATATTTTGACAAGCAACAGGGAACCTTGCGTCACCCAGTCGATTCATTAAATCATCTACCAAAATCTTTAAAATCTTCTCTTCGTTTCCATTCTTTGCGGCTGCGGCATACAAAACTTGCAAGCCTTTTTCAAAAAAATTGCACCAATCCGTTACAATGCATAATCGAATTACCCAATGATCAGTTAATTTAATATCCTGAATAGCGTTTGCCATCAATTTATAGAATCTTGTCGCTTTGAGATCTTTTATTTCACATAATGTTTGCAATTTCAATTTATCAGAATCATCAATTTGAGGAGTAAAACAGATCAATGAAGCTAATGCATATCCAGCCCGTAAACCAGGACTAACTACTTCATTTTCCCAGTTGTCCACAATTTTTGTAGCAATAGATGCCACTTTATCCTTTTTACTTTGAAAGATATTAGCACTTTCGGAAGACGATGTGGCTGATTTACCACTATTAACGTCAACAGAGATGCCCTTTAATAAACTTCGTCTCATGCTATTGACTTCATGTGAAATGATCTTGCTTAATACAAATTGCCATTCTTCAACTTGACTCAGATTTTCATTCAAATTAAAAATTTGAGATAGCAATATTTCGGATGATGTGGGAAAGACCGACAATATATCAGTTGCATTAAATTTTGAAATAGCCATAAGACCCGGTTTTAGGAGTCTATAATCTTTTTGGATTTTAAACCGAACAGAGTCATCAACATGAACTTCTTGATCTGGATTTGATATATATAAATTTTTTTGAGGAAATATAAGTGGACACACGTATGATTCTAATATATTTTTCTTGAATTCATTGTAAACATCAGTGTCTAAATAATATTTTAACAAGTATGTTAATTCCTTCTGATAAATAAATAAAGAACGCAAGATTCAATATATATATATATAGTCACCATCTCCATACTGGTCAATTAATTGGTAAAACTGACATAATCCTGAGACTAAAAGTATATTCAAAGGGTTGGCTTGCATAATAGTGTCGGCAATATAAGACATTAATACAATCCAAACTATATATGAATGAATAATACGTTGACATATATCGTAATTAGGACGTTAAGTAGAAATAATTAAAGTTAAAATTACCTGCCCTAGTTTCTACTACTTTGGCCTCTATACATGCATTTAGCGTTTCTATGATCAAATATAAACTCTTTGGATGTAAAATTACAGATTGAAGTAAACTTGATATGAAGGGAAGTAATTCTTCAGCATAATCCCTTCCTTTGGATTTACAAATATCTCTGAAAAATTATTTACTTTAAAATCTTACTATATAAATAAATATTCAAAGGATTGAAAAGTCATCACACCTAATAGTTGACAAAACTGCCAGCTCAATTTCAAAGCTTTCACGCTTAGTATCATCATATGCAGATATTTCTAATTTTCTCTTCTTTGTCCATTCTGATAATATGAATCGTAATTGTTTCCAACATCTTCTTTGTCTTAACCAGAGTTTATATAACATCCTGATACCAACTGCGTTTAAATTTGTTTCCTTGTTCATTTCCTGCCTATGAACAAGACTCATGGTAATTTTCAAAACTTTTGCGGTAATAGTTGAATCTGTAGTTGAAACCAATGAAGGTAAAGCATGATGTAAAATATGAATATGAACCGAAGTATTACTATCATTACGCAAAACATAAAGAAATAACAAAAAAATAGGAAATTTTTGTGTTTGAATTGAAAAAAAATCACTATTTATTATTGAAATTAGATGATTTAAAGCTAAAATTCTTGTGGCAACATCGTGATGAAATAAATAAGGCACATGAAATAACGTGGAAAAGTATGATTCCGAAATTTTAAATTCATTTAAGGAATGTGAATAAAAAGAGTTTACAAGACAATTTATCTCGGATAATATTAACGATATTGTTCCAGTAACACATGGTGATTTTAGCAGAATGGAAACCTGCTACATAGTCTAGATTAGAGATATTTTTAAACAAATTTGTGGCATTATGGTTACACATTACCTCATTAAATTCCAAAGGCACATATTGTAACGCCTGAAATTTTTGAATAATCAAGAGTATTTCCGTAGCAATATTCCTTGATTCACTCTTTTCCAAATCAGAAATCACTTGGAACAAGGGCAAAATTGCAACACTAATCAATGCAGGTGGAACATCTCGATCATTAATGTTCTTTAATTTGAGTTCGATTAATTTTTGCATAATCTCGAGGATCATGGATTGGTCATCAATAGACTGGGCATCAAGAAGCAAAAAAGATAACGTTGGCCAGATCAAAACAAAACTTGATTTTGATAGGTAATTTAAGGAACCTTCTTGAGGCATTAATATTTTATAAAATAACGAAATATAATGATTTGTTGATAAATTCGCATGACGTGCATCACAAGCAAGTGCTAAAATCTGCACTCCAAGGTTATTGTTAAATTTTTGTAAAAATGTTGTGTTCAAACCATTCCGGACAAAACTTACTCCAACAACTTGAACAAGAGATTGCGTGAGAACGTATATAGAATTGGAGGTAATATAATTGTTCGTGGTGGTAGTAACAATAGGTGTCAATGATTTTCTTTGAACAACAGAGAGTAAATACTCTAACAAATGTTCTTTAAAAGTCCAGTAAAACTCATCTTCGACATCTTTATATATCAGACGAATTAAGAATTGCATCAATACTGAAGACCAATGCTTCTGAAATTCAATATTTCCTTTCATTCCTTCTAATAAAACATGATCAAAATATGGTTTCATCATACTTAATAAATTTTCCATATACACTGATTTTTTTGGGGGAGTGTTATCGACATATTTTATTCTGGAAATGTCAAAAATCTTTTCAAATTGAGAAAGTAAGGTGGTACATGTCTGTTCAGGCTTAATTGCCATCGCAATGATAAAAGGATGCCTTCCATGACCAAAGTGATATTCACCTATGTACGCTTTGTTTGATAATATATCGGCTATACCTATTATAGCATTATCAAGGGAATTTCCCGAGAGTAAGAATAGTGCATCCGTTAACCCATTAAAAGCATCATTCCAATCAACAATTCCCTTTTGAACAAGGTCAACCAATTTGTTAATAGCATTTGAAGATATTATTCCAGTTGGCGATTTGACGAAATTCCAGAGTTTATCCAAATGTGAAGGTTCATTTTTACCTTTTGGGTACGACTTTGCAGCCCCAGGATTTGCAATAATTACTTCAGTCACTTTTTGAACTGATTGAATAGTGACAGAACGATGTTGTAAATCCATCTTTTTTAATAATTACAAATCATGAATTTTGTTTTATATATTCTTTCTCGTGTAACAAGTAAGGTGACATTACGTAATTCCCCTGACCTGATCGAAAATCACTGACAATCCAGGGTTAGTAGAAATTAATTTCACAATTCGTCAGCATTTTTAGTGTTGAGCATATTCTGCCAAAGTAGACATCAAAATCAAACTATGCTGAAAGTTACTACATATTCCAGATTACTACTCCAGAATAAATTTTATAGTATCATATATTGCAAAATGTACTACGTACTAAATTGCAATATATATTTTAATATATATTATATAACTTAATGAATTTTGTTCTTATTCTACAACAATTAGCTTATCTTTGAGTGTAAGTGGGAACAAAATTTAAATAATTTGAAATTTCTTAGGATTTTAGATAGTGTGTAGATTTATTTTAAATAAATTCTACCCTAAAATTACGATTTTATTAAGAAAATTCCGAATCCACTTAAAATTAATATTCTATTAACAACTCTGAGCAAATCAACTATACAGAACTCATACCAAAAAATCCAATTGCTCTGATCAAAATCGTGGTACACTAGCCGAAATTAACAAATTTTTGCATCCATCTTTATGATCATACATTCGTTTGATGGACGATATAAATCAATCTCCTGAACAACTTATTTATACACCTTAGAATATTTGTTGAGAACTAGGGTTGTTAATGGAGTAGCTTACTCCGGAGCATTCCGGAGTAGAACCCAACCCAAGTTGTAGTGGGTTTAAAATTGTGTCTTTAAATTGGAGCAACCCAGTGTGCTATGGAGCAACCCGGAGTAAAATGCTGGAGTAAGTCTAATTTAATGGAGTGGGTTTAAGATCTGGTCAACCCAAACCAACCCAACCCAACCCATTACCAACCCTATTGAAAACTTAATGTACTAAATGCTATTTTTATATATGTAGCTTATAAATGATCGTTAATGTCAGTGTTGTTAAACGGCTTGTTCATTTGTAATTGTCACTTTTTTTTATTACATCATTTATCACGTCGCGTAATTAATAATATAATTGCGACAATTATCAATGAACAAACCATTTAACAACTCCGGTTAATGTTGACAGTGCAAAAGAATCAAAAAAGAATCATACACACAACTAACTTTGCTTATCGTTATAAGTTAATGGTATGAATCGAAAATCGATTAATCAAAAAGTTGGTCAAGTTAGTAACTTATCGATTTAAAACTTTCGAAGCAACTAATCGTTAAATGATTACAGATAGATCTCTTTAAGTGAGGTGCACTTAGATTAGAGATGTTTAACTGTACTTTTAGATAAAGAAAAATTGTAACTGTTTAACTGTTTAAATATTGTTCCATAGTTTCGGGCATAATTAAGCTGGTCGTGGGCTGGAATTATTTTAAGTGCAGGCTGAATTATTGCGGTTTGCAAAATTATGTCAAATTTGAAGATCATTAAAAAAAAAAGTAATCACGATTTCTGATTACTGATTTCCGATTTCTTCAACATT